CTCTGCCCCCATACCGGATTACTTGTGCGCTTTGTTTACTCATTTTTGGTATTTGGTTTTTTTATTGGTATGTATTAATCTTTATTCAATTATATTATTACAAAATAGTTTGGAAAAGTTTAAATTATTTTTTCAGTCGGTACACAGAGATATCAAAAAAAATACATCAAGTTTTAGTGAGATGAATGAAGAGGATTGTGATCTCGATTAGTGAATACTTTGGATATATAAGTTCAGTAATATATTATAAGAATTATAGAAGTTATATACCCAGTTGATAATATGTTTTTGGGTAGATAAGTTCATACTTTGATGATATGTATTCAGGGTATATAAGTTTAGTAACTCTACTATGTAGAGAGAAAATGGGAGTTATATACCCGTTTTGATATATGTTTTTGAGATGTGTGATCGGGTGTGGTAATATGTGGTAATATATATAAGAAAAATGGTGGAACACTACACTTTTTTTGGAGTAGATATCTACTTACTTTAATGATATATCTTTAAGTATATAATTTCAGTAATATTATATAAGAAAAAACGAAGTTATATATCCAGTTGATAGTATGTCTTTGGGTATATGCTTGGAGTGTATAAGTTCAGTAATAATATATAAGAAAAAATGAAGTTATATACCACATCTGATAATATGTTTTCAGAGTAGCTAATTTCGGTAATATTATATAAGAAAAATAGCAAAAGGTTACCCTTTTAATGATAAGTTTCTGGATATATTTTTATGTATGTGATCATGATAGCTAACTTCAGTAATATATATAATAATTATGGGAGAAGGCTACCCATTTTAGTGATATGCTTCTGGATATGTTCTCATTTGAAACTGAAATTTAATAATAAATCTGTCATCAAAGATTTTTCGGTGACAGATAGCATACCTGATAATATGTTATAGCATACTCGATAGCAATTACGTGACATATATTTGATAGCATGTGTATAGTATATCCGATAGTAGAAACATAATATACTTGATAGTAATTATACAATACATATTTGATAACATATACCCGATAACATGACTCGATAGCATAATCAGATTTGTGTATATAGCATAACCAGATAGCGTGTATATAATATATGCAATAGTAATTAGATAGCATTTCCGATAGTAATTATGCAACGTATATTGATGGCATTCCCTAATAATATTTATGATATATGTATTGATAACAATTGTGCATACATGTTTGATAGCATACCTGATAGCATTAGCCCTCACAATAATGATATATAATTGGTTGCATCATCAGATATATATTTTTTTGCCTATATAAACCAACTGGCTATGACTACTAAGCTGGTATATATTATATCGCATGTGACAACGTGAGCATAAAATTGTCGTCATATTTTTTATAGATCATGGGTATCCAAATGTGACGACATGAACATAAATTCATCATCATATTTTTTATAGATCAATACTGATGACAGTATCACATTTCTGTCATCATGACACTGATGACGGTATCATATTTCTGTCGTCATGACACTGATGATGGTGTCGTATTTTTGTCGTCATGACACTGATGACGGTATCGCATTTCTGTCATCATGATACTGATGATGATATCGCATTTCTGTTGTCATGACACTGATGATGGTGTTGCATTTCTGTCATCATGACACATACCTAAGTGAGAATAACCTAGACTAAGTGAAAATAACATAATTATGTTATTTCCACTAAGGAAAATAAAATTTTGATTTATTTTCAAGTATAAAAATCTTTCTAAATGCATTTTAAAGACTGACTCCTGGACTTCTTGTAATGTATTTAGGAAGATTTTCTGTCTTTTAGATATTATTATTATCAATAAATAAGTTTTTTTTATATAATAAATACTAATAATTTATTAAAGTTATATAGATAATGGCTAGCATTATAATATTGATATAATATTAATATAGTATTAATAAAAATAGATAAAGTATATCATAAATTTTTTTACAGTCTAATAAAGTATAATAGTTATAGTAATCTGTTATATAAATAACAGATTATTTCTCTATTTTTTTATTACTTTATTCACTACTATATTTCTTTTTTATTCACTACTATTATTTTTTAATAATCATATCCAAATATTTTTACAGATCATCAAGATGATCTAAGAAATCTTCCAAAGGTGATTCTTCAAAATCAACTAATATAATATTATTCAATACAAAATAACTAAAAATACAAACTTCTAATCAAATAAAAGATCTATTTAGTCATATAGTTATGAAAAGTAAATAAAATTTTTTAAAATTTTTTTGTAATTGTAAAGATCATAAGAATTTTCTAATTAAATTTCTTAATCTTATTTCAATAAATTCAAAATCCTGATAATTAACTCTATTTTCTCCTATATTTACTATTTTATCTTCATAATCTGTTTTTTTGTCTGCTATTTTACCTGTTACTTTATCTACTATTTCATTTACTATTTTACTTGTTGCTTCATCTTTATCAGATTAGTAAATTGATATCTGCAAAAAACTGTATAGAGATATTATAAATAAATATTTTTGCTAATTTCTTTCTATTACATATAATAGATGATAAAGATAGATATAAAGAAATTATAGATCTTACCATGATTTTTCTTCTTTTACCATCTTGTTCTTCTACATAACAATTTGCTCTATCTAATCATTCATTATTTAGCAATGATATAAAGATTAATAATATTAGGTATTCTTCATTATCAACTTAATTTTCACCTATTCAAATATCAAATAATAAAAGATCTTTGATCTATGAAAAATTCAAGCATATAATAAATATTCTAAATAAAAAAATTGATAGTATATATCATCTCTGTTAATTTTTAGATGATCAAGCACAGAAATAAATCAAATTAATTAAAAAATTAATCATTATTAATAAACTATCTGAAATATTCTAGAAGATACTTATCTTTAATTATTTTCAAAGTCAAAAATTAATCTGCAAGATTTACTAAAGTTCTTTTTTCTATTATTTTATATAACAAGTATACAAAAAGATAGCCAAGAAGTTAATCCCTATAATTTTCTTTTCAACCTTCAAGAAATATTGATAAATGTTAGAAAAATATTTAGCAAAAAATACTAAAGATTATATTAATAGTCTGGATCATAATACGTAAATATCTATGTTCACAGAAAAATATATTTATCAAATTTACCATAAATTATATAAATCTATAAATTTTTTACTAATTATTTTTGTTTGATAATTTTAAATAAGAGTAAAATACCATAATAAATATAATAACTATACTTTTACTATTCAAAATACTATCTTTTTAACATTTAATGAAAAGAAGTTAGTAAGAATCAATAAAAATATATTTTCTATCTGTCTCGTCAAATAAAAAAGGAATAAGAAAACTCAAACTGCATATAAAAATCTCTTTCAAATAATAAATTACTTACAAATATCAGTTACATGATATTTAAGAAATATAAAGAAAAAGTATTATCATTGATATACTGTGCATTTGTTCTAGCTATCTGTGATATTCTTCTTAATCTGTCAAGTTCAGGAATCAAATACAAAAATAGATTAGTAGCATCAAAAAGGTAATAATATATAAAAATTTAATTAATTAGATTAAAGAATTAAGTGATCAGCTAATACTAATAATATTATAAATATAAGAAAAGTTAAGATAATATTTATTTACTTGAGAGAAATTATAGTTATATAATTTTAACTAGTGATAGAAATCATAACTAGCCATAACTTTGTCATAATTTTCTGATTGGCTATCATAACTCTGTTGCAATTTTCTGATTGACTACCACAAGTTACAACTAGTTAAGGAGCTATTTTTAGTTTTAACAAAACAAATTCATAAATAATGATTGATCAACTAGTTGAAATATTAATAAAAAAATTATTTTATTTACAAATCTTTTATTATTTAGTTTAGAACAAATATATAAATATTAATATAATAATAATAACTAAGATTAAGAATACAAGAAATAAATAAAAATATAATCTTATATATTAAAGATATTTATATGCTATTCTAGAAAATTATTTTTACATATACTTATCCAGATACATACTATATAGAGCAATTTGTAAAAGGCTTAAAATCAGAGTTATCTTTCATATAAATAAATCTAGTCCTGCAGATCTAGATGCAGTAATTAAAAGTAGTCAATATCAAGTTAAGCTATAGATAAACCTATCAAAATTCTCTGAATCTTCTGTCTTTTATGCTGTAAAATCTTAATATTCTATTTAATAATTCAAGCTCAATAATAAATATAAGTAAAGCTATAGCTGACTTAACTGAATAAGTCAAGAAATTATCTGCTCAGTCCAATCAAAACTCTAATACTTACCCTAATAATGGTAAAACTTACTATAATTATAATAAAAACAGATATATAGCTAAAATAATAATGATATCACAAATATAAAATATTTTCAGTATCAATCTCTGGTCTTCTTTTTTTGTTTGCGGCAGCCCTAAGATCATTGTGTCTGGCTGTGAACACCGTGACGATAGATAGATCCTCTGCAAGTTCGCCTGTGTCTGGATCTGTTGACTCAACATCCGTACCGAGAACCACGAGTTTGACATCGTGTTTCTGAAAAATCCACTCGACGAGCTCATGTGCGAATCGGCACAATCGGTAACCATAACTTCCTCGAGATTTCCTGCGTACACTCGTTCCAGAATGAACACGAATCCTCGTCGTTTCCAGTCGACGTCAGTAACGATCAGGAAATTTAGAAGTGAGGTATGCACGCTGCAGTAAAATATTTTTTTAGAAATTGATGTCGATCAATGCCGATTGTCAATAACAATGTGGTGTTGTAAAAACCAAATAACGTTCGTTCTAGTCGCTTTCGTGCATTATTTTAATGCATCAACTCTTCAAAAACTACTCTCGTTTATAAACTAATAAATTATACCACGTAATATAAGATATACATACACAACAATAAAAACCAACCTTTCAAAACTAAGCTTGCTTTTTTTGAAATGGATATCGATATAAAAGATGATGAAAATGCATCAACACAATGGACTTTCTCTCATAGCTTTCCCTTACCGTACCGTGTGTTAATTTTAATTTGTATTGGACTCTGGGCTTGGGGTTCGAATTTGCAAATATTATCGTGGTTTGGAATTGATGTTCATATGCTATTATCTACTTCAAATCAATATACCGAAAAGAGACCTCCAACCTCTTATAAATCTGTATATTTATTAGCTACGATATTGTCTGCGTGGGTGGGATTTAATTTAATGACATTTTGGTGGTTAACTGATGGTGATCCCGCTGCAATAGCCAATTGGACTGCTGTCCCTTTATTTTGTTACTTAATGATGATAACTATCGTGGTTTGTCCATTTAATATACTGATTCGACGAGAAAGAATGCGATTTTTGAGGTAACTACTTATTAATATCGTTGTCTCATCAGATATTCAGGTGATTATAATTTAATTAATAATTTGATTTCAGGTGCCTAAATCGAGTTTTATTTTTTAAATATGGGTCAGAAGTTCTTTTTGTGGATGGGATAATGGCAGATATTTTGACGAGTTACGCTAAAGTTTTGGGAGATTTGTACGTTACCGGATGTATCTTGCTTTTCCATAATTTTGAGGAAGCCGGCATTTTTTCAGAGAATAGATGTTGGAGTTACGTGATCGCTCCCTTTTTTACTAGGTAAATTACCATGATTGTTACGATTTTCTTCTTTATATTGTATTACTTATTATTAATTGTAATATCTGGATTATGAAAACTTAATAGCATACCATATATAATTCGTTTTCGTCAATGTTTGTCAGAATATATGAAATCGAGTTTTCATAAAAAACGACATTTATTTAATACCCTCAAATATGCGTCGGCTTTTCCAGTCATTTTTTTATCGGCTTTGCAAAAAAGATATGATTTTGCAACATTAGATTCTGACACTGTTACTTTTGGACAATCAACTTTATATAATTTATGGTAGCTACGAAAGATAATCATTTTATTCTTTTGAAAACTCTAAATCAGTTATTAATTAACAGCATTTACATTAGGTTACTTTCCGTAGCTTTCAATTCAATATATTCTTTCTATTGGGATATAGAAAAGGACTGGGAACTTCATTTTTTCACATCCGGATCTTCCCAAAAAATAAGTTCTGGTCGTTTCTCCTTGAAAATTCCAAACTTTAAACTTCGACAACCAATGCAATTCAAATGGCCAATAGTATATTACCTTGCTATGCTGACTGATTTCTTACTTCGATTTACATGGTCTCTTAAACTTTCATCACATTTGCATGTGGTTACTGAATTGGAGGCTCGTGTTTTTCTGATGGAATGTTTGGAAGTTGGACGAAGATGGTTATGGATATTTTTCAAGATGGAAAAAACATGGATACAAGAACAAAAAACTTTAGGATATGAGTTGAAGGGTAATGGCTTTATACCACATAATAATAATAACAACAACAACAATAATAATACTAATACTAATACTAATATTACTACTACTACTACTACTACTACTACTACTACTACTACTAATAATAATAATAATGATAATGGCGGGACCATAATAGGAATGTCCGAATTACATCACAAGGGTGATGAAAATTTATTACTATAAGAACTCTTCGACTAGTTTTATACTTATTCGATTAGAATTAATTAAATTAATAGAACTAAATTAAAATTTCTTTTTTCAATAAAAGTCACATGATATGATAATCATTGTTGGTGAAAGTTTGCCCTAGAAATATTACTTTACTTTTCGAATGGATGTAAATCCCTTTCCAACTTCACCGCGCATAGCGAATACTCGAAAACCAATTACAACAAAAGAAAGTCCTTCAATATCTTCTCCTAATTCAACTGTATTTGCTTCTTTTCTTGAGCAAGATTTCGATCCAAAAGCATGGGTAAATACTGCATTATCTAGCGGCAGACTCAAGTCAACTTCGTCAAATACTTCCTCTATTTCAAAACGACGCCGTTCTTCAACAACCACAAATACACCCACTGACTTGAATCATGGTGAAAAGCTTAACAGGGCACAACTTTCGTTGCTTTCAAGTCACACGGCAGTTCTTGTTGAGAAGTTAGAGTATTTAAACCAGGAAATTTCTAATCGTCTTGAGCGCACCGTTGAAAATGTGGTGAAAAGCATGCCAAATGTAATTTCAGAATTAAACGTCTTAAAAGAAGATACCGGAAAATTGAAAATCAATCTTTCCACCGTTCAACAGCACCTTGGTGATGTTGAAGGCAATACCGGTATCGCTTTAGATCGACTTCGATACCTAGATTTGGTAAAGACGCGTATGGAAGCTTCACGTGCAGTATTACGCGAAGCTGAAAACTGGTCAAGTCTTGAAGCAGAAGCCAGTACTATATTTGCCTCGCAGGATTATCAGAAAGCCAGTGTTCGACTTCAAGAAGCAGAGAAAAGTTTGGCGATTTTCCAGAATACGCCAGAATATGAGGAAAGAAGAAAGTTATTAACAGAATTACAGAATCAATTAGAGGCAACTGTTAGTCCCCAATTAATCGCAGCATTGAATCAACACGATGTCAAAGTTTGTCAAAAATTTTACGTTATTTTTGACCAAATTGGACGAAAAAAGGCTTTCTGCAATTACTATTATGGATCAAGAAAGGCTCCTCTTGTTCAACTATGGCAAGGATCATTAGTTTTAGAAGGTGGGGCTTCTTTAGAAGGAATCGTCAATAGTAACAGTAATAACAATGGTGATGATGACGATAATACAAAAGACACTAGATTCGTCGATTTTTTAAAAAAATTCTATGACGAATGTTTTGTGGTGTTAAATGAAGAGTACACATGGTGTGGTAGCGTGTTTCCCGATGCAAATGAAACATTGGCTGCGTTGATTGAAAATATATTCAATTCGATTAAACCTCCAGTGACTGTACGCTTGGCTGAATTAGTTGATTACTATCATTATCAATGTTTACCCCAAATTATTGAAGCATTCACAGTAAGCGAGAATTTTGGCCGAAAAATAGAGCACATGCTACAAAAATCAATTCAAACTCCTAAATTATCGCACACCGTTGAAGTAAAATGGGGTCAATCAGTTTTTGAACCCTTTTCAATATATCAGCATGATTATGCAGCATATGAGAAAAACTATCTGATTGCAATGCTAAAAAAAATTCTATCGTCAAATATTAAAACATCAACCGTTGACTTATCACGCGTGATTTTAGACACTAGTGGGAAGCTATTTAATTTGGTGGATGACGGTTTATCACGATGTATGAAATTCACACATGGATTTGGTAGTGTTGGCTTAATTGAAACATTAAACCAATTTTTCGAGATTTCAATTAAAGAATATTTTATGCTTTTAAACAAGTTACGTGCTGAATGTGGACTGGATCTGAAAGAATCGAATCGACCATCTAATAATAATAATGAACTTTTTGCTAAATCTTTTTCTGGTCCTGCCTCGAATTTGAGTTTGGAGGATGATTTTGATCAAGATAATCTTGCGCATGAAGATTGGTCAAATTTCCAAATTGGCTTGCGATTACTGGCTACATGTCGCACATTTTCAGAAAAACTCGATTCATTTGAACATAAAACCGCTGAAACTCTGTTAAAGATAAATGAACTAATTCAGAGTGCAGATATACATAATGACAAAACAAACACAAAATTGCATTGGTATGAACAACGACGACCTTCTTTTCAGGACGTCACTACTTCTATAGGAACAAAGGCATCAATAGGTCTCTTACAAGAATCTCCGCTTAATAGTTATCAATTACGCGAATTAATTTCGAGCCTTGAAGAAAATTATGCCATTATTGAGGAACAAGAAGACGAGGATGAAAAACTTGAGATAAAAAATAATCAAAAAGCTAAAAAAGAACAATATTTATTATTTCGACCTACTATAGAAATTCTTGATCAATTTATTCGGGGATGTCAACGCTTTATATTTGACACGATTTTCTTACCCATCGTTAAACATCTCTCCAATATTAGTAAAATGGAAGTCTGGAAAGCAGCACCAGAGTCAACTAAACAACGCTCTGTATTGAACTTGGAAATTCCAACTTTTAGTTTATCGCCTAGTGAGTATATAACTCGCATTGGTGAGCACCTGTTAACGTTACCACAACAATTTGAGGTTTATGCGGATGACAAATCATTGGCTTTTTCAATTTCTTCGTTACCATACAATGACGATACTGAGGATTTTGTTGACGATGACAAAATAGAAACAATGACAATCACTCAAAAATCCACAGAGCAAAAGTCACCTTTAATATCAAATTTAGAATCGGATACAGCACAAAATACTGAACAACAAGAAAATGTCAAAGAAACAATTACAGTAACACACGCTTGGATCACATCAATTGCACGTGGAACAATGTTTGCATTAGTGGAAAAGATTTTATCCATTCCACAATTATCCAAGCATGGCACTCGACAACTACTCACCGATCTTGGTTATCTGACTAATGTTTTATCGGCTCTTGATATTTCTGCAGTGGATGAACTTTTGCAAATATACAAGATGTTGGAAATGGAAGAAGAGCAAGTAGTTAAATTTATCTCTCAAATTAATAATAATAAAGAAGATTTTGAGTTTGACTTGAAAAATAAAGAAATAATGATCAAAGTTGCAGCTATAAGAGGATTTTAGATTTTATATAATGATCAATTTATTATGAATCATGATCAAATTTATTAATAATATAAAATTTAAATAAATAAAATGGTAATATTTTTTATCAGATTTTTTGAGAGTTATTCTAATTGCAATATAATTACAAAAATATTTATTATATTTTAAGTTTATTATATATTTATCTCTATCTTAAATTTTAAATAATTTCTTTTGAAATTTGAAATTATATCAGATTAATTCTTTATTTATAATATTATCTTGAGAATTTAAATATATATCATACTTATCTAGAAATAGAATAATTCTGATAAGCTTTTCTAAAAAAAGAAGTTATATTATATTTTATAGAGTTATAAGTATTCTAATTTAAAGCATATATTCAGATAATTAAATAATTAAGATTCAAAAAACAAAACAAATTGTAATACTTAATAATATTTTTAAATATTTTGAATTTTTATCAAACTTATTATTAACAAAAAGAATTCAAATAGATCTAATTTTATTTTATTTAAATATAATAAAAAATAATTTGTAAATTAATAACAAGACTTAATAAATCTATTATGTAAGTTAATAATAAAATATCTGCAAAATATTTTGATTAAATAAAAATAATAAGTTAACTAATTTGAAGAATATTATTTAAATTAATAAGATTAATAAGAAAATATATAGTTAGATTTTTTTATAATTATTATACTTGAAAAAATAAAATTAGATAATTAAAGAGAGATATAACTATAGAAAGATTTTTTTAATTAAAAATAATAATATATTATTATAATATAAATTTTTTTTTTTTTTTTTTTATTATTTATTTTATATTTATATTTTTATTAAATAATTATTTAATTATATTTTTATTAAATAATAATTAAAATAATAATATTATTTTAATAAAATTAATATAAATTAATTAAGAATTAAATTATAATAGAAGTAATATAAATAATATAATAAAAATAATTTTAAAATATATAAAAGTAATATATTTTAATTATAAAATTTAATATAAAATAAAATATATAATAATAATTAATTATATAATTAAAGAAATATTACATATTATATAATATATAAATTTTATAAAATTAAAATATATTTTTTATATAATATATTATTTAATTAAATTATTATTAAGTTATAATCAAAAGCAATAAATTTAGCTTTTGAGTTATTACTTTTGATTGTTATTGTAAGTATTATTTTAGTTTTATTAAAAAATAATTATTAAAATTTTCATATTTAATTTTCATATTTGCAAAATTTTTATATTTAAAATTTTAATATTATTATATAAACTTTTTTAATTATATTAAAATATAATAAATTTTATATTTATAAAATCTTTATAATTTTATATTAAAAATTTTATAATATTTTTAAA